TATTTTCAAGCTGTTGTTTTCTCAGAACAAATATCTCTCTGGCAGATTCAGTTTACAGTTTATAGCTTACTGTTGTAAGCTATTTTACAGCCAAGTGAGTGAACTCTGATTCTAGATGTAACATGGCATTTATTTCTAAGAATGGGATTTCAAAATGATTCTAAAAAGTTAGAAACTCGTCTCTTTGATGTAAGTCAACCAAAACATCAGTCAGTCCTATTTGAAGGGTATAAAAATACATCGGCGATGTAAGAGAAAGAAAGTACGAGGGAGGACATGAAAAATATCAATGGGCGTACATTGAGAGAAGGGTTGTAATCCCTCTTCCTTTTTTTTCCCCAGTTTATGTCTTGAGAATATCCACCTACTGTTTAGCATCTAGTGAGTACCCACCCATCCACTAACAGCTCTTTCTTTGCTGGCAGCCTCATTATAACTAGAGATCCTAGCCTGAAATTCATCAAAAAGATCAAACTAGAAAACGGGAGAAAAAAAATCTTGAAACACAAGGAGTTCAAGGAAAATGGGAGATCTAGCTGGTCACAGATCTTGAATGCCAGAAATGTCATCTATCAGCTCATGTAACTTGACCTTGTGTATAGCAAAGGACATAGAATTGTGTGCTGCTTCCCCTGCAGCTGACCCTGCTTAAACTTGTGTTTAACTAATATCTACTAGAAAGCCTTGAAAGGAAGGACCCAAGAACCATGGACTCCTACAGGCAATGCAGTCATAGAATCATGGAATTACAGATCAAATCATGCCAGGTTAGAAGGAGTCTCAAGAATCATGTGCCCCCCCTTTCTTAAAAGAAGGACAGTCTAGACAAAATGTCCTAACACCCTGTCCAGCTGAATCTTAAAAGTGTCCAGTGGAGAGGAACCTACCACTTCCTTGGAAACATTATCCCAGTAGCTGATTGTTCTCATTGTGAAATTTTCTATCTTTTGTGTCCCCAGGAGTAACCTGCACCCATTACTCTTCATCTTTTCCATGTGACTTCCTATCAAAAGGATTTCTCCATCTTCTTTGTAGCCACCCCGTAAATACCAGAACAATGGTGAAAAGGTCTCCCCCAAGCCTTCTTTCTCAAAGCTAAACACAGTTTTCTCAGGCTTTCCTCCAACAGACTTTCAAGTACTTTGATCATTTTTGTGGACCTTCTTATATTTGTCTTTGTTGAACTTCACAGGTTCTTGTCAGTCTGCTCTTCTAACCCTATCCAGGTCTTCCTGCACAATGGTTCAGTTGTACCCCTTCCTTTTTATGGGCAAATGCCTCATAGATTTGAGATGAGGAAATGATGAGACTCAAATAGAGCTAAAAACAACACAGAACAAAGAGTGAGAAGGGCATTTTGTTTGCCAGAGTTGCTCTTCTGTGTTCTGAACAGATGGCTGACAACATCCTGAGACCTTAGAAAATTGAATCGATGAGAGAAACGTGTTCAGAGTTAATTATATGTAATTGTGCTAGGCACAGAAAGGGTAAAACTAAGCCACAAACCTCAGTGTATTGAGTGAATTTATGTAGTAGGAGTACATAAAAAATTCACTGTTGTTCAATTTTATGAAATTTTCATCACAAAACCCTGTTCTGACTGAATAAATTAAAACCCACACTAACCTTTTTTTTTTTTTTAATAATTAGGCAACTTCAGACATTTGTTCAAAGTCTGATTATTATTTTCATTTCTTAGAAAAACCAGCTTTAGTTTTATGGTATTTTGTAGGCTAAAAAATAAAATTATTATTAGGAAAATTCACTTCATTACCTCAAAAGTGACCAGTACAAACCTCTGGTCATTTTTTTTGCAGCTCAATTCCTACATCTTTTTTGAAAAAAATACTGTGCTGGGTCAGTCATTCTGAATAAATACTCACACATGCACACATTTGTTAGATATTTTTTCAATCACCCTACTCAACTGTTTGACAAAATAATACCACTGTCACATCAATCAAAGATGCATTTGAGCAAAAGGGATTATATCACACAAGGATTATATGTGTAGACAGAGACTAAAAAGTATGACATACTGAAGGGAAAAAGCTAAACAATTGCCAACTTCTTGTATAAGAAGTTACGCTGAACTTCTGAACAAATTGGATGCTGTACTGGCTCTGGCTGAGGTGGAGCTAGCATTCTCCTCAGCAGCCCATATGGTGGTGTGTTTTGAATTTGTGCTTAGAGTAGCTTTGCTACCACACCAGTGTTTTGCCTATTGCTAGTAGTGCTTGCACAGTGCCAAAGCTTTCTCTCTATTCCAGTCAGGAGACTGAGGGTAGCAAAGGCATTGGAAAGGGACAGAGCCAGGACAGCTGATCGCTGACCAAAAGAACAACATCTTGATCACCAGAAAAGCTAGCACAGAGGAAAAAGAAGGAGTGGGGGCAGCATGGTGTGCTCAAACCCAGCCTTGAGAGTCAGGGTCTCAAGAGATGTGGGAAGAGCAATTGCCAATAAAAACTGAGACAAAAAGAATGTTGAATACCTCAGCCTTCTGCCTGTCAGTTGTCACCAGGCTACCTGTCTCATTTTTTGGGGGCGTGAAATTGCTTTTGTCTTCATTTTCTGACTAATGTGCCTGTGGTCAGATATTCATCCATTTCTGTTAAGACCTGTCATCTTACTCAGAGATGTCCCTGGTTGGAAAGTACTTATTCCATTAATATATCCATGAACTGAATAAGTTCAGTTCCACTGAAAATGGAACTAAGAATGAAGAGTCAGAACCAGTAACATAACTTGTATGTGAGACGTCCTATTTGCAGCCTCTGGCCATCTGTGAAGCTCTTTTCATTGACATATTTCATGGTTTTTTCAGTCCATCAGTCTAGAAAATACATTTCCTCACCTTTGGTATAAGAATCATGTTTTTAGGTAGGTTGAGGAAGGATCAGGAAGTCCATAGATGCAGTATTATCTTCTCTAACTTTCAGCATCTCAGCAGATACATGCACTGGCAACAGCCTCTGATGACAAGATTTTGCTGGAAAGCTATTCTTTCCCTAACTATAAGATTAAATATAAAAATATAATATAAAAATATAATATACATTTATACAATTGATGCTACTTTCAAATGGATTTTCTCCTAAAACTACAAATTTAATTACATGTATTTTAGTCTGTGGTACAAATTTTAGTTTAAAGCCATGCATGAAGTTAGATTATGCAGGGACAGAGCTTCTACTTGAAATATCTATATTTGCCAATTTTCTTCACTTTCCTTTATAAAAGAAGAATAACTTTCCTTTGAAAACTTAGGGATACTTCTATCCAGAAGACCAAAGGTTTGCAAAGAAACATTCTTGTGGCAGTTTTCAAAAATTCTGGATAGATAATGGTCAAAGTACACAGTAACAATATTGGCAATGTCATCAGCTGCCTCAGAATAAGAGAAAAAGCCTGCTAATAGGTCTTTATTTTACAGTCCTGTGGACTGACAGCTTTTGGGAAACTATTCAAGTCTGACAGTGAAGAGATCTGAGGCAGTTCTTCAAAGCAGAATTAAAGGAGAATTATACACACACACTTGAAAATAGACTTCAACACAACAGACAGTTTAAGTACTGGAGAGGTTTTACTCTAATTCCTACTTTGCCTGGGTTTATTGGCAGAACCACTGAAGTTACAAAACATAATAACATTAAAAATAAATATCTTTATTTCTGTAACAGAAAGCTTTGGCTTATACAGATTTTGTGCCTTGTAAAGTGCAAAAGGACATACAGACTAAATCCATGGCTTATAAAAGGCAGTTTATTCAACAAATTAAATTATTTTATTCAGAAGAGAACAGAAAGAACAACAGCTTTTCAATTTTTTTCTTTTAGAAGCAGCCAATTAAAAAAAAATCCATTCTATAATAAATTTGGGTTGAAAGCAAATTTTCTGTAAAAACTTTATTCCTATCCACTGAATTTTCTTAAAAATGCTCTCAAGTCAATCTGATATAACCTTGTGAAAATCTATTAGGTCATGTACAAAAATGTTTCGCACTATTTATCAGCATTGTTAGTGATAATGAACATGGAGTGGTGCTTTTACCCCAATTTAATAGCCTTACTGAATAAGAGTTTTATAATAGTGTATTATCAATTCAACCTAAGCAGAAACCTCAGCTGTACTGGAACACTTAGACCCTAATTGGGCACCCAAGATCTTTGAAGGGAATTAAAAGGGAGCTCTGGCTTTTTTATTTTGTGTGTAGGAAAACCAAATTAAATTGAACTCTGGGTTGTCTTTACTTCTGTCTGGTATCCTCATTTGTGAATGCTGTAATTGATAATCCATTCTCTTTTAACCCTTTCATCAGATCTTTTGCCACCAGAATAGAATTTGCAGCACAAAGATATATAAACTAAATCTCAAGAAAGTCATAATTCTACTACTTTATTAAAATAATTTATATATTATTAATCATACTCAACATTCAATAATAGTTATCAATTATATATTTGCCAAGGACGACGTGAAGGAGAGACTAGTAGGGCTTAATGGAAATTCATAAAATTTCTAAACATGGTTTTAATCATACACTATAAGCAGAGCACTGTAGGGCTTACTAAAAATCCATTTATTTTTCAGCCATAAAATATCACATGGATCTTAACCACAGCATTATTAGTTCATTGCAAGAATTAATTGCCCCTCAAAATCAAAACAAATATTTAGATTTTTCCACTATTTCTTTATCAAAATGCTTATTCCTTTAAAAATAATTTTTAAAAATGTAAACTGGAAGGCTGCAGAGCACAAAGATTAATGCAATTGGTTGAGGGTCTGCTGATGAAATCAAGAAGTTTGACTTCTTCTAAAAGTCAAACTCCTACTCAAGTTAGAAGGAACTGAACGTGCTTATAAATTCAGAAAGATGACTTAGCAGAGCACATTTCTATCTGATATGACTCCTTACTCTTTGGGAAGTGTGAGGGAACGTGTTTACAAAGCAAGACTGCAAACAGATTGTGGACACCTCTTGCTTGCTATTTCAGCTGCTACCGAGGTCTCCTTCTCGTTCGACGTCGGGAACGGGCCGGTGGAAATCGTGGTGAGATCTCCCAACCCTCTCAACGATGACCAATGGCACCGGGTCAATGCCGAGAGGAATGTCAAGCAGGCCAGCTTGCAGGTGGACCAGCTACCCCTGGAGGTCCGGAAAGCTCCAACAGAAGGACACACACGGCTGGAATTGTACAGCCAGCTCTATGTTGGTAAGGTGCAGAGGAGGCAGCCGGGCTTTGCTCTCACGGTGCTGAACATACTTTGCCTCGTGTCTTGCCAGCAGCAGTTAGTGAATGTGGAAAGCTGTGCACCTCGAGTATTTGTGGGACAGCAAAGGGGGGAAAAAAGAAAAAAAAAGAAAAAAAAAAAAAAAGGACAAATGTGTCCATAATTACAGAAATACAAAGATCAACTAAGAGAAAAATATTGTGCATTAGAAACTTGTCCTTTTTGTCTCTCTCCACCTGCACCTCCTGGCTGAAAGTGCCTCCAGCAGACTGCAGTGCCAAACTCCTTTTTTGCTGAGAGTCTCTTCCCAGGCACACAAACACTTTTTCACCACAGAAGTGAAAACTTCTGCAGAGTTCTTGCCAGGACTGCATGTGCCTACAGTGCCCATCCTAGCCTCGGCAGCAGTTCCAGCCTCTTTAGATTTGATCATTGGCCATACTTTTGCATTCACAGCTCTCGCTGCAGTCTTTTCCCTTTAGTCCTGTGGGCTATTTACTCATTTGATGTAGGAAAGAACCACACACTGTTACACAAATGCATTCTCTGGAACCAAGTTAGTCCAGCTGCTTTCTGGAGCTACTGGTTTCCACTACATCTGGGGCAGGCTATTCCAGCAGCATTTGTATTTCTCCAACTGTGAGCCGCAGGGCTGCAAAGTGCTGATGTGCCAAGTGCCATTAGCTGGAATCAGAACTGCATGAAGTGTTGAGCAAAGAAGCACTGTCATACCTCTCTAGATATCTGTTACAAGAGAAGAAGGAAGTGAAAAGAGAAAAAAAAAAATCTTTTTTCTCCATGTTAGTCAGCGTTCAACAGCTCAAATGAATTAAAATTATGTTTAAAGCCTTCATTGCCTTAGTGATCAGCCCAGTGTCACTGCAAACTGTGTGTAATGTGTCACCAGATGTGCAGGTGTTATTTACAAGCTCAGTTCTCCTTTGCCACTGTGATCCTAGAAATGGCAGTTTCAAAATAAGCTGAAAGATAAAGTTTGTTTAAAAGAGGAACACTTAACCTTTAAAAAATACCAAGCCTTTTGCTGTAAATAGGAAGAGATGGAATTTTTTTTCCTAGCCTGAGTTCTTTCAGAATTGTTGATAATGATGATTTTATTTGTTAGTATTGAATTGACTGTAACACTAGCAATGTTTTGAAATACATGGTACCTTTATTGCCAAAGAAACAAATGTCATAATCTGCACCAGATTTTTTTCTTTCTGAATTACATCTATTTCATGTCACTTGGTTATTGGAGCACACATACCAGAGAAGAGCTTTAAACTTTACCTGGAGTCACAGCTAGAATGGATTTGAGTTGGAGTGCCCAAAATGAATACCTGAATACCAGGGCCCTGGAGAGTAATGCTGAACAAGAATTGTTTTGGTGCCTGCTTTTCCATTTTCTGTAGAATAAATATCTATTCTTTGGGTGAGCAAGAGGGACTGAGGGGTGATGACTTTGTGTCCTAAGGGCTAGAGAGGTGAAAGGTGGTTTTTCATCACTGCAGCATATATGAGTGTACATAGAATGGAATCACACCAGAGCACCCTGTGCCACGTGCACTCAGGAGAGACCAAGCCTTGCCTGCTCGTACTCTAAATCATCCAGTTACTGGTACTTGTTTTGAAGCAGCCCTCTCTGTTTTGTATTTAGTCCTCTTTCCCACTCAGGTAAATATCAGCCACTGTGCTCAGTGGTGATGAGCATTCAGATCTCCTCAGGGACTCTCTGGCATCTGCAGCACTGCAGTAGTCAAAGAGAGGAAGGATGAGCAGAAAAGATGCCAGCACTCATTATTATTTACTCACTTTTTTTAGTTTGGGCTTTTTTTGATTGTTGTTTCTAATCCAGCCTCAGATGAGGCTTTCCTAGCTGAAATCACATTTTTTCACTGAGTGTTTACTCGGTATGAAAAAAAGATTGTTCTTATTAGCTGCTATAAAAAACCATCTCAACCCAGATTGTCGAATGCAGTTTTCCAGTGTTCCATCCTTCAGTCTAGGCTCTGGTAAGTAAATAGCATACGTGATGTTTCTTGGAAATCAATGTGAATATTTCCTATTGTAACTGAGAATGGAGATTTGACTCCCTTTTTGTTTGTCCTTTTTGGCTTTGAAAAATGTAACACTGCATAGCATATTATGGCATTATTATTATCACCCACCATTATTAATCATTAGGAGAGAAAGGCTACACATTAGCAGTTGAGCCAAGCCCATTTCTTCCACTGTTATCTCTAAAAACATTGAAGCTGAAATGAAAGGAAATCTTACAGTGTAGGGCTAGAATCTCAAATGTCTAATTATAAAGCAAGCATTGATAAAAAACTACTATTTATGCTTGCTAATGGTATGATATCAAAGCGCTAGGTTTTACTGATCTGCTGTCATTAGGACAAGGCAATTCCTTGCCCTTATAACGAAGTTACCACAGGCTTAGCAGGATATTTAATGTGAAACAACAGCAATGAAACCCATTCAGTGCTGTCTCACAGTTCAACATTCCCTCTCAGGTGCTGCAGGAGGCCAGCGAGGCTTCCTGGGCTGCATTCGTTCCCTGAGGATGAACGGGGTGACGCTGGACCTGGAAGAGAGAGCCAAGGTCACGCCCGGGGTGAAGCCTGGCTGCTCTGGTCACTGCACCAGCTACGGCATGTACTGTGCCAACGGGGGGAAATGCGTGGAGAAATACAATGGCTACTCCTGTGACTGCTCCAAAACTGCCTACGATGGGCCATTCTGCATAAAAGGTAAATGCATCGGGGCAGGAGGCAGAGTGGGAGGGGACTATTTGCCTGAGGGAGAAAAAACCACAAGGGAATCAATGCTACAGCTTCATTATATAAATAAGTAAATCCTGTTTAATACTTCTTGCTAACAATTCAAGCTATACACTCGTGTGTATACTTAAATGTGATTATTTAAAACCACACCTCTTATGAGGACTACATGTTTCCTGTTTAAATCAAATAACACAACAGCAAAATGCATCAGGAATGCCTGTAGTGATAGCAGGTCTGGCAGAGGGCATTCCATTCCAACTAGCACAATGTCATGGTAACTTTTTTAGAAGAAAAACATGGATTTAAAAGAAAAGCTACCTAGTCATTCAGACATGTAGGTATGACATTTGGGTTGAATATCTCATATATTGGGAGGCCAGCATTTTGCTTAAAAATTTTATCCATCCATAAGTAGATCAAGTCTTTTGGTACCTCAGACTGGGTTAGGGATTGAACCTGCTGGCATAAGGGAAGGCACAGAGATCCCACATTTATGTCAGCCCTTTGGAAATGTTTAAAATATGTTCTGGAATTTCAAAAGAAATTATTATAAGGGAACAATGTACTGTGGATGCACAGGTCTGCATGGAAGAAAGACAGGAGCAAGGAAAATTGAGATCCAACAAAAAAAGATTGAGACGAAAAGTACTAATTTCTTTTTTCTTGTTTGACTGTCTAATCCACTGCTTTTCCTAGTAATTTTAAAAACTTTCTCAAAGTTTCAGATAAAAATGTGAAGGCTCTTCCCATCAGTATCCCTGATGTTGAAGAAACCTGTATCCTCATAAGGTGCTCCTCTGCTTTTACATTCCTCTCTCTGAACCAGGAATCCTGCAGGCAGTCTAGGTCACCAGGCACCAGAGTCCCCTCAAGAAGCTAATTTGGCAGTAGGGTACAGCACCTGGCCTTTGATGTTGTGGTTTTCAATTCTTTCTCAGGGTTTTTTTCCAAGTCAAAATCTGATCATTATTTTGCAAATATCCATACCCTGCCTTCTTTTAGCCACACTTACAGGAAGTATAAAGCTTATAACAGAAATAGTCTTTTTACCTGATGCTGTGTTGTGGACTGCATTTCCTGCCCACACACTTCAGCCACTTTAATTTTTACCCATGTTTGCTCACTTTCATTTCATCCTGTCACAGCAAAGCTTTGTCCATTGCTGATGTTGCTCACATATTGGACCATCCTCTTCTAAAAGCCAAGGAATTGTTTTCATATCACCAAATATTCACATCACCAGATAGGGATGAATCTCTGGCATGATTATTTTTTAAATTCCAATAAATATGATGTATTTCTAGTGCAGCAGAAGGGAAGCAGCTGCTTCTCTAGGTAATGGCTTCCACTGTGCTTGCATGCAGGAATTTCATCACCTTTCACCATGCTGTGCTGCTTCAAAAGCAAATTACAAACATGTCCATTCAGTTCAGGACTGTACATACAGCAGCTCCTGAGAATGTGAATACAGTAATTTCAGTTAATTTAGCAAATGATTTGTCATGAATAATGGTAATGCATATTTAGTATTTCTGTTCACTAATGCAGTTATATGGTAGAGGAAACCTGTTCAGGTTGGAATTAGGTCAATCTCTCGCAGATCATGTGTTGACACAAAAAAAGGGGGAAAAAAAAAAAGGAAAATAAAAGAAAATAGAATTACTGCAACGCCATATTCACTGAATTCACTTCACAGCTTTTTCTATATTGCCAGAACTCACACTGACTTTTATTTGTGAGGGGTTTGTTCCTCTCATGGATAGGTAAGCCCCAACCTTCCACCAAAACTACCTCTATTTTTCCTGGATGTAGAGCTAGCAGAATAAAAACATACCACTAATATAATAATAATTGGGAATAATTGAGCACCTAGGACAGGCAAGCCCTGGTTTTGGCTGGCCTGTAAGCACTTCCATAGCAATGACAGTAATATCATGTAAGTTATACTCTTCTCCTTATCAGTGTCCCAGTGCAGCCAAGGGCCCAGAGCTCTGACAGGGATAATTTGGGCATGCAGTGAAACTTGCTGTGAGCTGGAGCTCATGCAAAAGTACTATTAGAGCAGGGATGTCTGTGCCATACAGTGTTGTGCCATTTAAACATGACATCAGATCTCTGTTTTCAATATCAAATCTGTTCCAGGCTGAAAAGGGCTCTCTAAATTCTTTAGATCTTATGTACATGGTTTAAATTGCCAATTTCCTATCTGTTAGTGCTGAAGACTGTTGTACTCATCTAGAATATTCCCAAGTGTGATTTATTGTGTGTGAGATCATGAGGCTTCCTTACAGAAAGAACAATGGCATACTGGGGAAAAAGCTAGAGGATAAATTACACAAAACAAACTGGGGCATCCTATGATTGAAATAATTGTAAAATCTCCATAACAAACAATGCTGATAATGAGGTCTTTGGAAGAATTCATTACAGCCCATTACATTTACATTGTCAATTTAACTTGCATTATGCTTTTTGAATCAAGTAAAGCACTGGAAAAACTTATGTGTGTTGTCAAGCTTCCTAGACTTGTGAAAGAAGGGAGTCCTACATTTTCTTTCTAATAACAGCTCATGAAATCTTATACTGTGTCCTCTTGGCCTATGAGACAAGAATGAATGTATTTTCTAGAAACAATGAGCAAACATACATAACAACTGCAAAATAAGTAATGGCAAAACAGCCAAGTATGTTTTAGTTAAATAAATATTTTTAAAATTTACAAAAATTTGAAGGGTTTTGGAACTTTAGAATTTTTTTCCTGTAAAATAAAATTATGCCTGAATTATATTTAAACTTATTTTGATGACGAGATTGTAATTCTTATATTTCAATCCATTTTTTCATTAATGCTTTGACACTTTCCCCTCTGTAAAAGCACTGAAATATCTATGAACATGTTTTCAAATACTGTATGATCTGTTTTCAATTATTTTTTTTCTTTATAATGACAGAGTTGAATACTGCTCTATCACTTTTATAACCTGCACCACAGTATGCTGTTTGTTGCTTTAATGCTGGTAAATCTAATACGAGGCAAGCAGGAATATTTTCCTTTGTCACCTTCACTAGGAATTCCCATTGGCTGCCAGAAAATATCATGGTTAGTGCTTTGCAGGATAGACTAGGACTAGATTTCATTATTTCTCTCCTCTCAGTAAATATTCCAGGCCAAATAGATCTGTTGATTTGATAATCAGTAGTGCCTGACATCCCATTCCAACCAATATGAGATATTACCAAAAAAAATATGCTACTCAGCTGGAGTGAAAGGTGGCACAATGTAACCCTTACAGTATAGCCCAGACTTCCCTTCCCATTGATTTTCTTTTGCCACAGGAAAGTTTCCTTATCCAAAGGCTTCATTTTGATATTGAAATCGTTTGCCTGCAGTGAACTTCTTGGGGTTGGTTACATACTGAAAGTGCTAGGAGATGGGAAAATTGAAGGAAAAAAATATTGCTATAAGGAAATCACCATACAATGGTTCATGAGTAATAAACACATTTCACAATAAAAGCAGACCTTGCATGCTGTGGATTCTTTCTCTGATGAAATCTGTCCTGAGAGCCTCTGACTGATGACTGACAAGAAATTGCTTTGTCTCCAGCCTTATTAGCAGCACACCACAGTGTGAATGATGTTGTAGTGGTCTGGAAATTACACTGTTTCTTTACAAGGACAAAAATAAGTATGAAAATGCAGTCTGACATCTATTTTAACTGTATTTTTGTTTCGTGTTTGAGGCATATGCAATTGGTTTTACTTCTTTCATTGCTCAGAGAAATTGCTCTGAGGAATAGCTGAAGTGTTTCTGCCGTCCTGCAGATTGCTTTCTGACCTTTCCCTGTCCTTTGTTTAAGCATAAATTCTGGGGATTTTTTTTCTCCCACAGCTGTCCTATCATCATAAAAGCATTTCTGAGAAAGCAATTAATTTTTGTTCATCTAAAAAACAAACTCTTTCCTCTCTTTAAACAGAAGATAGAAACAAAAATAAAAAGCAAAGGTCAAATGCAGGGCATGTGGCAGCATTCTGGTGTGGGACATACCCCAGGGAGAAAGCATTCCTCCTTTGGTATTGAAATGTAGTGGAACAACACCAGGAGAAGACATTACACCCACCAGGAGTGAGGCCAAAAAGCAAAATTTTTTTTAAAAATTAAATAGCTGGTGCTATGACTCATGTGCCTTCAGGTATGCTGGAAGGGTAAATTCAAAGCTTTCCAGTTTCTCTGCAGTTACTCAATTTGCATTAACAAACAGCAAGGAGATGCTATAGTCTTTTTTCTTTTGTCCTTTGGAGTAAAGCTCAGATTCTCAGTGTGAATTCTTGCAATCCTTAAGACAATGCCCAAAATAATCTCCTTCATGTTTGTTTTTATATTTGTATGAACCCTGAAAGAATTACAAGTAGTATTGTCACAGTCAGATTTCCATCTTTTCCTGCTCCCTTCTATGTCCCAAAGAGAAAAAACAGCTTTTTACTAGGCTGAGTGGATGCAAGACCTAGCAGGAGGCAGCAGCTCTGCACCCTTCCACCAACTCTCAGACTGACTTGATCAACTCCAAATTCTGCCCTGCTTAGACTCATTCAATTCCCTTTATTTGGCAAAAACATTGCATCGTTTTGCTGAAAGCAATGGTAAGGTGATTGTTAGAGTGTTTTAAGGTAACTAACTTCTTCATTTTCATAGTTCAGAATCACAGAACCCAGAAAATCCAGGCAACATTCCCTCCCAGACCCCAAAAAATTCTCCTGTTTTCAACAGGATTGTGATCTGTTAGCTGAAACTTACATGAGAAGTTTTCCTCAGGTTGTTAATGTTAAGCTCCTACTCTGGTAAGTCTGAATGCTGCAGTCAGGCTTTTTTACCTGTACCTTGCATACTTCAGGACTCAGGTTTTAGCCTCTTTTGGGTAACTATATACTCACAAAAAATAGATATACTTTCTAAAGCCATTCCATTC